CTTTTGAACCCTCCCATAGCCCTAAACTGGAGTTTTAAGTTGGTGACAGCCAGAAAAATCGCGCCTCTTGACCGTCTCCCACAAATTGGTGTTAAAAGTTTCCGTATTAGGTCTTCAGATGCCTTAATATCGAAATTTAAATACAATTGACGCTTGAGGCAACTCTCAAAGGCAGGCATTTTTGAGACAGTTGAAAATTCCTGTTCGTCACATAAGGATGAGCTGCGACCAAGAAAGACGAAAACGGTCGATACAACATAAAACAAGTTTTTCCTCTGTCAGAAAAGCCAAATTCGCATATTTTTTGTTCTAGCACAATATAAGTTTAATAGGACAGGAGGTGCATTGGATGGGTGGCGAGTAAGAGGAATGATAGCTGGTGGGTGTTAATAAGTCGCGCATATTCACAGTCATTTTTGTCCATCAGCACACAGAGATTTAGAGCATTTTATTCTTTTATGCTTTTATCTAAACAGGAGAATCGGATAGATTGTGTTGCTTGAAAATGAGATGTAAAAATTAACTGAAAATGTCAAAAAACGCGTCTCAAAGGTGAAACTTCAAGTATTTCAAGCTTATTTATGCAAGAACATCACCAAATTGCACATACCACCGTGATTTAAGCAAGACTTATTGAGTAAATTGATTAGAGTATTAACGTCATTTCTTCTATTTTTTATAAGTTTGCAATGTGCGAACTGTGAAGGCAAACAGTACTTTGGCACCAGCGGCTGGCAATTACTATCATTATCATTATCTTTTCGATGAAAAGGATTCAATAGCAAAAAACTGTGGAATATTGAGCTATTTAAAAAGTTTTGCCAATAAAGTTAGCTGTTCAGTTAATTTGTTCTATCTAGATTTTCTTGAAGTGGTTGTCAATCAATGACATTCTGGTCATGTGTAACAGCTCAGACTGTGATTAGGAATATCAGGGATACTCTTCTTCAAGGACAAATCCGAAAAATCTGCCTTTTGACAGACTTAAAGGCAGCGTCCAGGCAGATCTGGATCCATGGGGCTTTTACGTGGAAAGTACTTTTGGGGCCCTAACTAAGGCACTGCCCAAGCGGCAGCTCATGTAGTGCTCTAATGGTTGAGATATTCCTCTCGAAACTGGCCCCCGCGAACGTATTCGCATGGATTCATGGAAGTTTCGCGCCAGGAGCCACGCTTTGCGCCATGAATCCATGCGAAACACGGTCGCGGGGTTCAGTTTCGAGGGAAATATCTCAGCCGTTAGGGCACTACCTGAGCTGCCGGTTGGGCAGTGGCTTAGTTAGGGCCCCAAAAGTACTTTCCACATGAAATCCCCATAGGTCCAGACTTGCCTGGACGCTGCCTTTAAGACTTTAGTGCAACGGATCGCTGCCTTATCCGAAGTGTAATTCTCTAGTAGATGTTTTTCAAGAGGAATGGCGTATTTCATAGCTGGTGCCATCGCACACCAAGAAAGACGTATATGAGATCAACTCCTTGCGTTCGTATTTGCATTGGTATTATATTTGTGAAAAGAATTAGCAGAACTTCTTGAACAACTTACTGTAATGGGATAAATGACTCTTGTCTGGCACTAATGTCCTGGGTGAACTCAGTGAAAGTGGGCAATGTTGGTCATACAACATATTTTGCACTTGGCAGAATTTGCACTATGGAAAGGTAGGCACACGCTACACTTAAAGGCAGTGTCCGGGCAAAAACTCGATTTTGAGATTTTGTGCTTACTTGGGCCTATTCGCTACGCTGAATCCGAAAATGCACATTGTAGAGCGCGAAAACGGCGAAAAAGGGCTCTAATATAGGAGGGAAATGGCGGAGCTTTCCCCAGGGCGAATTCACGTTCCCGGCTTCCGGAGCGACCTTCTCGCTTCCGGTTTCAAGTCAATCATTCGCGCTTGGCCGGTAGCGATGTTAGAACGGCTAGCGGAATCGAGAAAATCGCTCCGGGAGCTGGGAGCGTGAAATCGCACTGGGGAAAGCCCCGCCCACCTGCTGATTTCCCTCCTATATTAGAGCCCTTTTTCGCCGTTTTCGCGCTTTCCAATTTGGATTTTCGGATTCAGCATGACGAATAGGCCCGTATAAGCACAAAATCTCAAAATCGAGTTTTTGCCCGGACACTGCCTTTAAAAGCAGTGTCTGGGCAAAAACTCGATTTTGAGATTTTTTGCTTACCCGGGCCTATTCGCTACGTTGAATCCGAAAATGCACATTTGAGAGCACGAAAACGGCGGGAAAAGGCTCTAACGCGGGAGAGAAATCAGAAGGTGGGCGGGGTCTTCCGCCACTGTGAATTCACGCTCCCAGCTTCCAGAGCGATCTTCTCGGTTCCGATTTCAAGTTCATGCATTCGCACCTGGCCGGTGGAGATCTCAGAGCGCTAGAGGAATTGGGAAGTTCGCTCCAAAAGCTGGGACTGCGAAATTCACAGTGGGGAGGACCCCGCCCACTTTCGAATTCCCTCCTGCCTTAGAGCCCTTTTTTGCCGTTTTTGCGCTTTCCAATGTGGTTTTTCGGATTCAGCATAGTGAATAGGCCTGGGTAAGCACAAAATCTCAAAATCGACTTTTTGCCCGGACACTTCCTTTAAAGGCAGTGTCCGGGCAGAAACTCGACTTTTAAAAAATCAACTTATCTGGGGTTATCCGCAACGCTGAATCCGAAAATCCATATCAGAAAGCACGAAAACGGCGAGAACATGCATTTTCCAAGCCCTTACATTTCGAAATTTGAGGATCCCCGCCAGGCTAAGACGCAGAGTTGCAAAGAGCGCACGGTTTTTAACTGTGGCGGCATACGTACTCTGCCGTCTGGCAGGAATTCAAACAGCTCGGAGGACCCCGCCCCGAGGCGTAAGTTTCCCCACTTTGCAATTGTTTTTCTTGCTTTAGGTCGAAAGTTTTATGCTCGCAGTTGCGCGATGTTGTGTCTCAGGGGGGCCAGTCTCACATGGCAGAGAAATCTCAAAACCCCCATCTTGCCCGGACACTGCCTTTAATCCACGCGATACGCTTGATCCACTTCATAAACTTCGCTACCGATCAAATCATTGAAAGGACCACCAATAGCGAAGCGGACGGCCGATTGATCCAGTCTACTTCATCTACTTCTGTTAGTTGGTCCACTGATTTGACCAATAGCGAAGTGGACGAAGTGGAAATTGATCTATTTAGAATCAAAAGTGGCACATGCCATACGCCTCATATCCACTTTGATTCTATTAGGCTGGCGAATAATTCTTTCATATTCAAAGTAATCTAGAAATCGAAGATTCTTATATCCGAGGGTTGTTGACGGGGTGCAAAGATCTACATCGGTACTGTCAGATCCGTGATCCGTGCGCAAAACACCTACTTTTTGGTGGGATTACGATTTACCGAAGATTGTTGACGGGGTGCAACAATTCTCAACGGGCTAGCAATCTTCCAGGCGATCAGAGGAGACCGGGCGTTGTGGTATTCGGGCAGGTTATAGTCCATGCTTTCTAGCGAACATAGCGGATGGCACAATCATGTCCGTACACCTTCACGAGCTACATGGTGTTCCACGTTGGCGCACATTCGCATGTTAATTGAAGAACAATTTTTGACTAAAGTTATTTCCGACGTCTCCGTATTAAATCCTGCATGATGCACGCAGAGGATTTTCCATGAATTCTTTTAGCTTTTTCCTATTTATTAGGTTGTCCCGAAGGTTTTGCCCGTTTCTTTCATCGCTCACTAAAACTCATAGAACATCAATCCATGGACGACTTAGGTATCATTTGACTAACATTTTTATCTTCTTTCTGACAACTATATCTGCTCTTTGATCTACTCTGTCTTTTCAATGTTATCGCCATGGCTTTTTGAACAGTTTAACATTAACGCCAAATTTTCCTGAATTTTAAAACTTTTTATTCTGCTGTTTTCAAAGAGCGCTGACGACCGTTAACTAGAACAGACCTTTGGCTACATTTTATCCATTTTAGATTACGTTTATTCAATAAAAATCTCGACTTTTCGATAAAGTTTACCGCGTAAAATTACCGAAAACTCCAAAAAGCTGCTTTTTTGAAGCAAATTAAACTTGGTTGTGTTGCGTAAAGAATGTTTAATAAGAATTATGTTTCAATTCGCAGAAACTTCAAAAGCTTTCGTGTATTTGCTGCAGTTGCGTGTCTCGTGACTTTGCCAAAAATCGAGATTTCCGAAAAACATTTTTTGAAGCTAAAAACAGCAGAATGGGAGAACCTAAAGATATTATTTTGTATTCCGAGACTTGCTCTATTTGATCCACACTTAATTCTTTCCGAAACTTTGGAATGAAATTCTCGAAAATTACCCTAAGTTTGAGCAGATAAAATTGGAGAGTGGAGAATTTCGGCAATTATCAAAAGAAAGCATGCAGGATTGTGGGTCGCTGATATAACCATAAGAAAGAAAAGGAAAAGCCACATCAAATGCATGTTGACGCCCATTCAGGTCTTCATTGTGCGTGGTTTTATAGTGGTTTGAAAAAACCGACAAAACTTTTGGGACAACCTAATATTTTTCACCCCAAGTTTTCGACATGTTAAAGACACCAAAGTGCTGTCATAAAAGAGACAGTGCGAAAATACGTTTCGAGTATTATAGGAAAGAAAAAACACAATTAGGCGCAGGAAAATTTAAAGAAAAAAGTTTTGAGGGTGCTTGCAAAGTTGCCGTACTTGCTGGCTATTTGTGCATGTGCATCATGAGTCATAATGTATATACGCCCTGTCGTACACCACATATGGAGCAAATTAGAAAAATCTAGAAAACTTTTGCGAAAAAGGTGCAATCAAAGTTATCCGCCGACCTAATACATTGATATGATGGCTGCTGCATGACGAAGGCGCGGAAACCGTATTAGCTGAGCTGGCGCAAATCTTGCGCCCTCATACGCTCTGCGCCTAGAAAAGCCGCGTTCGCGCCCAAAGATATTGCGCCTTCGTCATGCAGCAGCCTGCACTTTTTCCTGGTAACTGATCAAAATACCTATCCATCCTCAAATGGACGTGGCTCCTGCTTAAAATATGGTACTTTGCTTTGAAATAACGTACCTACACCAAGACACCCGAGAGCATATATTGCGGTCGGATCTGTGCAATAATTGGCGCCAGACAACCACAGATACCCTGATGCAATGGAGTTGATGGCGATAGCTACCATGTCATAAGCACCTGAAAACTCAGCATATACTTTTTAAGCTTAAACCTTTTTTCCATCACTTACCAAGTGAAATCATAATCTTATAGCAAGACAATCGACGTTGCTCCTTTCTCGTCAAGATGAGTAATGCAATGGTGTAGAGAAACTGTAATGATCCAGAATGATTCAGAAAAACTTGAGTTTTTGTGAGTTTCCAACCTCCGCACTCAATCCGTAAATAACAGAAAAGATGCCTAAAAGATGATTTGTGTGACCATATTGCCTCGTAGAATTCCTGTAAATACTGCGATTTGTTAGTTGTCCATGACAGTTTTCAACTGTAATAAAGATTGTTCTTGGGCTTTGAAAAAAACCCGCTCATACCTCTTATTCTCCTCCAGGCTTGAGTTGAACTAAATGATAAAACCTTTTGAACTTACAAGAGAAAACATCTAAGACATGACTAGCAGTAGAATTTTATTTTTCGAAAACCTTTTCATAAACATTCGTGGCCCTCTCTCCTTACTGAGGAGTCCCAAAGAGGGCCTAAAAACTAAAAAAAAACTAAAACTTTGTCTACGGAAGGAACGAAACGGGGTATAATGGAACACCTTTTTTTTCTTTTCATTACAATACAAAGAATTTGCTGGCTATGACAAGCTTCTAACCAAAGGCAGGGCAAGCGACACAAGGCTCGTTACGATACGTTAGAACCTTTCAACGTACTTTCAACGTTAGGATAGACTAAATTCGCGTGTGATTAATTTACCGCATAAATTAATTATTAGGTTGGCTAAAAAAATAAGTTTGGCCGTTTTTAACGGCTTGTAGCAAATTTACAAATTAATTTATGTAAGAATTTATGGTGCCGTTGGAAAGCGCAAATCAAGGAGAATCGGATGGTCAACTCTTCTTAAACGCCAGTCATCATCTTGACAAGAAAATTGTGCAGGAAATTGAGATATTCAAATTTTCCATCGGATTTCCGAGAAATTATGCTCCAAAAAACGAGTCGAAGTTGAATGTAAAATGCACAATTGGCAAACCACACAACAAATTTTGAAATGTTCAATACTTTGCACGATCATTGATAGTCACCCAAGCAACCTTGATCGCTCAAAAACCAACCCCATGCGCATTCCTGGAAATTCTCCCATTTTTGGGTGCAGAAACTCACAGACATCAGCTCACAATCTCCCTTGTAGCTCGCCATGTAGCCAAAGGTTGTACATATATAACCACCAAATAAGTCATCCGTGTATCCACTATAGGTTGAGAACGATACTTAGAAATTCAAGAAGCGTTGGGACAAAAATCCTGACTACATGTTATTTGAGAGTAGAGAATTGAGGCTACCTTCTTCCAAAAATCTTAGCAAAATAGTTGCCACTCGAATTTTTATGGAATTTCAAAGAGCAAGTCAAACCAAACTTAATTAATAGCCAACCTAATGATTTTTCGATCTCCAAAACACTCACGGGCTGCAAAAGCTAGAAACATAGCTTAGCAGACACAAATCACACTCACCAGCAATCATAACTTGGTATTCTCTCTGCATCCCAGCCATACTTGATGAGCTGTTCCATCTAGAAAACACTTCTTCAAAGGTATACTCAAAAAAAAGTATTAGGTAAATTATGGTCGAAGAAGCAAACCAAAAGCAGGTAATCTTTCTTGCGAAATCAAGTAAAGCAAATGAAGCTCTCAAACGTAAGAGTGAACTAATCGTGTTCGTCAGGCGCATTGGTCACAACTGAGCCATGAAATTACTCATCTTCTCAAAGGATTAGTCAGAATGTAGCAATAACTCATCAAGCTTATAATCCTGTGTGGACATTAAGGTTAAGGTTAATTCTTGGCATACATCTGGTTTTTTTTGAGTTGTTTTCTAAGTAATATAAAATTTCTTCTAAGACAATGTATATTAAACCCACAGTTCACAAAGGTTATTTTTTGTGTGCTAGAGCAACTACTACTATGTATGTGTAAAATCAAGAATAACTTGGAGATTTTCTTCGACAGTGATGATGCAAAGGAACGTTCTAGCTGTTCTTATATAGAAAGATTAGTCGAAGAGAAACTAAGTGGGGTCATCCCAGTTACGAAGCGCGGAATCTGCCAAACGTCAGCAAACTTACAAGTCATGAAAAGAATAATTCTTTTGCAAGAATTTGAGAGACAAAGGAGACTGAGAGCTCTATCTATGGAGCAGTGGTCTAAAATATTGAGCAGATTCTGCGTATTTGTCGAAGATGTTCGTAAGCAGTGGAAAACTCTACTCATAGTTTTGCATGAAAGAAAACAAGCTGGATAGCAATTGAAGGAACGACGTATGGAACAGAGTTTATTATTTTATCCCTTGGAAAAACGCTGAAAAACCTCTTTCAGTGGAAATGTCACTTACAGCAACTGCTGCAATAAGCTTTTACTTCTCTGACTTCCCGCTGTAAAATTATTAGAGTTAAAGGCAGCGCCCAGGCAAAATCCCCTACCCGATCAGTAACTGATCTGAATACATGCCCCAAGAGAGGGACATCTGCTTTGGTCCGGCTCTTCTCTTCAGTCTTGGGCCTGGAACTGCGAAGGTACTACCAAGCTATGCCCATCTAGATAGTGAAAGGTGCTTGGGTCTTCATGGTAGGTCCCACAAATAGGGTTTCTTGGAGGGTTTTGCACATTTTGAACAAAACTGTAATCAGTGTCACGAAAAGGCCCAGAATGACAAAGAAGGAAAAATTTTGGATGAACGCTGCCTTTAAGCTGGATAAAGTTCCGCTGAGGAATAAGAACGAAGTCAACAGAGCACTATTCTTCGGCTTCCCGTTTTCTGATCAAAACATTACTTTGAACCCCAATACCAAGTCTGTGGTCCTGTGACTACCTTTTCTAATTCAATAAACTAACTAAATGCGATTTTATTTCCCATCGGCTTGTTATACTCCTTTTTTTGCCTATAGGACTATAAAGTGGTGCTAAAAATCAGCACATTCTTCAAAATGGACTAAACGTGCCTCCCAATAAGGAAGTATGGAAAGGGGTGGATTTAGATGCAGCGGACGTGAAAGCTCAGAAGAAGGAGTAGGTGCCAGGTAGTATCTGTTCGGAGCCTCCAAACATCAAGCATCACTTTCAATTCACAACGTTAAGAATAGGTCACCTTACCCAAGCTAAAGCTAAATACAGCTGGTGACTGCTAAGCTGTTGCCATACCAATCCTTATTACGTAAACGAAGTGCTGCTAAGACGTATTCATATTTGAATGAACTTTTTGCTGGGCATTGAGCAAGCGGTAAAGGGGCAATGTACCATAACGGCCCGCTGGGAACAAGTGTGAGAAAATGCTGACTGGGAGTGAAAGCTCAAAAAATTCGAGCTAATACTTCATTTTCAAGAATAGTAAAATTCCTCTGTCGTCTAATGTGTTCCATGCAGTTTCATATTTCAACGAGAAAACACGTGATAATGCAAAGAATAATAAAATGTTCGAGATGGTACGGCTAACCATCAGTCACTTGCCAAACACCTTCCCAAAAGATAAAAGCTTTTTTTACAGAGTTTGAAAATTCATTTCTGAAACAGCTTCAAAACGCTAGACCAGTCATAGGAACGCAATACTTCGCAGTGATACTGAGAACCTATTCAAGACAGTAAATGACCTTATATACTTTCAAAACGGTCTATCTTTGAATTATTCAACTAGTGCGAATACGTAATTGTCCTTTTTCGGATGATCTAAATATCTCAAGCATTTAACACCTTATTCATCGTCATCTCATCACTCACAAAAAATCAACGGGGGTTTTGTCTAACAATAAGCATAATTAGTGTATCAATAGCTTTTGGTCTGAAATAAATGTTGAAGTGACTGACGAAACCACCGATCTCAGTGACGCGAAGAACAAAGTCTGTCACGGAGCTATGGCTCAATTAGTAGATGAAGGATGATGTGAGTATAAACACCGAACATCTGTAGTTGGCAACTGACGCTACTGCTTCATTGTTCGTGCAAATAGCTATTACTTCTCAGGCCGAAAAGAATTTCTAATTGCAGCGGTAGAATAACTCTATCCGAGCGCCCTTGCAAGAACAGAGCTATGACATATAGCAAAACTAAAGAATTCAAACCGAATAAGTTTTAAAGAATAATTCAGCGAAAATACCGTAAATCTCATACTTATCTCATCTTTGACATGTACACATATAAACGAAAAGTGTTAATTTGATTGAAATATCGAAGACACACCGAAGAGTTGATTGATGAGCTCAATTCATATTTCACCGTAAGTCCGAGGGGGGAGGAGGGAGGGGAGGATGGGAGGGGGGGGGGGGGGGGGGAAGGATTGTCAAATTGTCAAGTTGTTCTTAGCCGAAAACAACTAAAAGAAATTTGAATACCTGAGTTTGTTTGAGATTTTTTTTCAGTATATCATAGAGTAAATTTTTGTAATCAAGTTCATGTAGTCGAAAAGATTACATGAGATCAACAAAAGTTCCGACTGGCATTATACAACCACTTTCGAAAGCGTGCAGCTGCCAAGTCCTTTTTTCCAAAGTTCTAAGAAGCTTCTCAGTTTTTTGCTGCCTTGGCAAGCTTCATTTCATTCTATTAGGGTGATCCGAAAATAATGGGGCACCTAAAAAATGCAGTTTTCTCAAATGGAAAAGCTAAATGGAAGTCCAAGTTTTGGCAGATGTTAGTATATAACAAAACCTTCCGATCGAGGTCTATAGTTGGGCACTGTCACATGACGTTATTTTTATAAGCAAAATTAGAGTTCATCACCAAGTAATTTTGAACTTCGAGCAGCAGCGCCGCAGTAGAACAAGTGAGCCTACCAAAGATAGCAATGGGCGAAAGGGCTGTCACCAACTCCACGATAGCTCCGTGTTCCCAAGGCTTTAGAACAGAAGATATAGCATTGGATATCAGGAGACATACTACTTATTCTTTTATCAAGTTAATCAAAAAAGCTCAACCTAATAGTTGCTTCCTGATGATGCTTTTTACGCTCTATTCATACATATGCAAGCTGTTACTTCGACTTTTCTCATTTTAGAAAAAATTGTGGGCCAAAACATGAGTTTTAGTCTGAAAATCTGCGCCAAACACCGCACTTTTTTGAATAAAGTGCCTTTTTTGTATGAAATAATGGGCAATTTTTGAATATTCGAGTAATCATTAGAAAGAGCTCGAAAAGCTCTTTTAGATGGTATGCCATATGTCGAGAGACTTTTAGGTGCAGCAGCGAAGGTCATTTTATGCAAAAGCGTTTAAGTTGCTGGTTGTTCATAGCTAATCAGAAAGAGATCTTGAAGAATGTTTAAGAAGTCAAGGTGCGCCATTACTTTTGGATCACCCTAATAACACGTCTATAGCTTCCCCCCCCCCCCTTCTAGTGGAGCCACTGCTATGATGACGATGAGATTTAAAGAGGGTTAAATAGGAAGAGCCAATTTGTCAAGTACATATCTTCTCCCCTTATATCAATAAAAAGTCTGATCTTATATATAAAGCTGAATGTCTGTCTGTATGTATGTCTGTATGTCTGTCTGTACGTATGTGCGGAATAGAAATTTTTATTTCTGAACCGATCGGGACCAAACTTGGCACACATATACTTCGGGGCAGGGAGCGTGTCATAGGCTACTTTTCGTTATCGATCGATATCGATTTTATCGATTTTTTGCAAAATTTGAGCTAGGGGGCTGGGATTTTGCACAGGGGGGTAATCGAACATGCTGATCACCCCCGTGGGGGTGATCAGCATGCTTGATTACCCCCCTGTGCAAAATCCCAGCCCCGTAGCTCAAAATTTGCAAAAAATCGGTGAAATCGACATCGATCGATAACGAAAAGTGGACTATGACACGCTCCCTGCCCCGAAGTGTATGTGTGCAAAGTTTGGCCCCGGGCGGAGCCGGGTTTGCCATCTAGTTACCAATAAAATTGAAGTAAGCTTAGACTTAGCCATCATCTAACAATAAGATATGCTGATGATTTCAGCATCCTAGTTAGGCTTCGGACTTCGTCTAACTCAACTGCCTCTGCATGATCCACGATGAAGCTAGGGTTCTGTATCATAATTTGCTTTCTCTTGAACTTCGGAACTGAATCAAAGAAGGAAACATATGGAAAATTTTCGTTGAATGTAGGAGATGCTTTCAGGACTGCAATAAGTTTGTACCGAGAAATCTTGAGAGAAATTCTGCTTACAGGAAAACCCATACTATTTACAGGAAACCCATACGTCAAGGAAAACTCAATAAGGTGGTTAGATCCATATTAATTTCTTCGTGTGTATAATATGCTTGGGTCCAAATCGAATAGAAATTCGATCATTCGAATAAATCATTCGAATATATTCGTATTCAAAATTCGATATTCGAGTTTTTACATTTTCGAATGATATTCGAAACTCGAATAATCAAAAAACGGGATTTCGAATAAAATTTGAAATAATCAAAAAACGGGGTTTCGAATAGGTTTTATTCGAATGTTTTATTCGAATGTTTACTCGAATTCGTATTCGAATGGACTCCGTACTCAGGAAACTTCCAGACCGCGCCGGTTGCCGCTATTGCAGCC